AAACTCCTGGGCTCAAGCCACCCTCCTGCCTCAGCCTCCCAAGTAGCTAGGACTACAGGCAGGTACCACCAAACCCAGCTAAAGTTTTTGTTTTTTCTTTTTTGGAGAGACAGGTCTTGCTCTTGCTCATGTTGGTCTTGAATTCCTGAGCTCAAGTAATCCTCCTGCCTCAGCCACCCAGCGTGCTAAGATTACAGGTGTGAGCCACCCAGCCCGCCTTCTTTCCCAATTTTTCAAATGAGAAAAATAGCGAACACCTCAAAAGTGCCTTGCATAAATTGAATCAGACAAAAGATATAATGCTTTTTATATAATCCCTAGTATACAGTCAGTGCTCATAAATGTTAGAAAATTTTACAATTGATATAATTAGCATTAATCTCAGGAATCAAAACTGTACAACATTGGCACAAGAATCAAAAGTCCAATCAATGAATGAAAAAGCCAAGAAATGGAACACATATTTCAAATTAGTCAGTTTATTATAGACATGGCAACAGAAATTATTGAGAAAAAATAAGGATTATTTTACAACAATTCTGTATCAACATCTAGCTTATTGTCCCATCATCAATCATGGAATAGTTTGTCTTCATAGTATATAATGGAGTCTCACAGTGCAGACCTGAAAAGCTAAACATTTCTAACCTTCCTTTTTTTTTTTTTAATTTCAGAATATTATGGGGGTACAAACGCTTTGGTTACATAAATTGCCTTTGCACCACCCGAGTCAGAGCTACAAGCGTGCCCATCCCCGAGACAGCGCACACCATACCCATTAGGTGTGAATTTACCCATCCCCTCCCCACCCACCTGCCCAACACTCAATGAATGTTACTTCCATATGTGCACATAAGTGTTGATTGATTAGTTCCAATTTGATGGTGAATCCATGTGGTACTTGTTTTTCCACCCTTGTGATACTTCACTTAGAAGAATGGGAGCCAGCTCCATCTAAGATAATACAAGAGGTAGTTCTCCATGGTATACATATACCACATTTTATTAATCCACTCATGTGCTGATGAGCACTTGGGTTGTTTCCACATCTTTGCAATTGTGAATTGTGCTGCTATAAACATTCGAGTGCACATGTCTTTTTTATAGAATGTCTTTTTTTCCTTTGAGCAGATGCCCAGTAATGGGATTGCTGGATCAAATGGTAGTTCTACTTTTAGTTTTTTGAGGTATCTCCATACTGCTTTCCATAGAGGCTGTATTAGTTTGCAGTCCCACCAGCAATGCGTTAGTGTTCCTACCTCTCTACATCCATGCCAACATTTGTTGTTTTGGGACTTTTTGATAAAATCCATTCTCACTGGAGTAACGTGGTATCTCATTGTGGTTTTGATTTGCATTTCCCTGATGATTAGAGATGTTGAGCATTTTTTCATGTTTCTCAGCCATTAGACTAATTTCCTTTATCCAAGGTCTTAATGTAGCACTTGAATACTTTTTAATTTTAGGAGTTTGCAAAGGTTTTTACACAAAATTTATTCTTGATTTACAAATAATAATAGATAAATAAGATTTTCATAGATAACTCAAAACATAAAACTAATAACAGGGCCCAAATCACCAGCACAAATGAAATTGAAACAGACTGATAAGATCACTCCTATTCTCTAGTAAGAAGTCTGAATAGTAGGAACTATTTTCTCTTTCTTCCCACTGGAGAGGATAATCCATCCCATTTAGCTGGAGTTTACAACCAGCCGTGGGCTGCCTGAAATCCAGGAACACAATAAGAAATCTAGGTTATCTACTGTATGGATCTATTGTTTCCTCACGTCTCCCCTCCTCTCCATATCTGCCTTCGGGTCCTGAAGCTAGTAAGTGGTCTAGGCAGAATTGTAACCAAGCTCCCTGTCTCTAGAGTCTGCATCGGAACCATTATGATGTCATGAGCTGTTTTTATCCCCAGCACTTCTGACACCAAATATGTGGGGGTGTTCCCCTACCCAACAACCGATTCTCCAACAGGGTGTCCTATAATTCAATTCAATTCTGACGTTAACTGCTCAGAGTTAGTGCAGACTACAGGTTAAGGGCCCATTCAGGCAAGACTGCCTCTACTTCAGATGAGACTCATAAGTCCCAGGTTTCCACCCACACTTCTGACCCACTGGCCATAAACTGAGAATTCCCACTACCTCACCTCAGCTTTGATACTTTGCTATGACTCCAGAACTCAGAAAGCATTTTACTTACTATTTATTACCACTTTATCATAAAGAATACAACTCAGGAACAGCCAAATGAAAGAAATGCACAGCGCAATGTATTTTACTTTATTCTATCTGAAGAATTTGTATTTATTTATGTATTTCTTATTTTTTGCCATTAATGATTTGCTTGAAAAAATAAAAACAATTTTTACATAGAATAAAGTTTCACTAGATATTGTCTTCATTAGATATTTTAAAATGAGTTTTCAGTAGAATTATCATATGCTAAATGTTTCTTATATATGATTAAGTGTATTTCTTAAGGAGAGTTCTATAACTTTTAGCTGATTCTCATAAAGTTTATGAGTCATAAAAGGTTAAAACCACATTTCTATAGTTTTTTTTTTTTTTGGATTGAATTTTATCTATTTATTGAACAAACCAATCCTGGGTAAAGAGAAAAGAACACTAAGTTTTGGGTCAGGGGGACTGGGAAGGTGGGAGAAGCCCCAGCCCAAGTGGTGTAGGGGAAGGAAAGGGAGGGGTCATTTGTAAAACTCATGCTCTTGCTCGTCCTTCTTGATGACGGTCTTGTATGCTTTCTCGAAGTCCTTGGCCAGGACAATGTAGCGGTTCTCGCGGACGGCCAGCATCCCACTCTCCTGACAGATGGAGCTGATATCAGCTCCTGAAATCTTATCTGGCCGGGCCACATAATCTTCCAAGTCAACCTCCTCAGAGAGGTTCGTCTTGCTGGTGATAGTGGAAAAAATCAATCTTTTCTGGCGACGATCAGGGAGGGGAAATTCAATTTTACGGTCGAGGCGTCCTGGCCGCAGCAGGGCTGGATCCAGGGTGTCTGCTCTATTTGTGGCCATGATCACCTTGACATTGACGTTCTGGTCAAATCCATCCACTTGATTCAGCAGCTCCAGCAGGATTCTCTGAACCTCCCTGTCAGCCCCCGTCTGGGCATCAAATCTCTTGGTGGCGATGGCATCAATCTCATCTATGAAGATGATGGCAGGGGCATTCTCCTTGGCCAGGCGGAACACATCCCGGACCATGCGGGGACCCTCGCCCAGGTATTTCTGTACAAACTCCGAGCCCACGACCCGGATAAATGCAGCTGTCGTGTGATGTGCCACAGCCTTTGCCAACATGGTCTTCCCGCAGCCGGGTGGGCCGTACATGAGGACGCCTCGGAGAGGATCGATGCCGATCTGCTTGTAGAGCTCGAAGTGCGTAAGTGGGAGCTCCACAGCCTCCCGCACCTCCTGCTTCTGGATGTCCATGCCCCCGATGTCCGCGTACATCACGTCTGGCTTCTGGTCTGAGGTGAGCATCATGATGCTGCTGTCGGCCTCGGGTGGCAGCACATCCACCAGGGCGTTGCTGTGCTTGCGGAGGGCCACCGAGGCGTTGGGCTTGAGCAGCTCCCGATCAATGGTGCTCAGGATGCGCACGTAATAGTTGGAACCTGTGGTAGAGCCCACGATGGCTGTATTCTGATCCACAGCCTCCAGAAATTGTCCTATGACCAGTGGGATGCTCTGGATTTGCTTCACCTCCTCCTGGGCATGAAGGAATTCCTTCTTCAAGTTCTTTTGTTCATCCTTGATGTACTTCTCCTGCACCTCTAGGAACTCCAGCTCTTGCTGCAGTTTCTTGTAGCGGCTGTACAGGTCCTCCAGGTCCTCAGGCTCAGGACCCAGGAAGGACAGGCCAGTCTGGGGCCGGGACACAGACAATGCTGGTATCTCATCCTGAGCCTTCTCCACCAAGATGCCTATTTCCTCCACAGTGACCAAGCCTGCCTCTCTGTCCACATTTCTATAGTTTTGATGTTAAACGTCTTTAGAAAGAATTCCTCTAATAAACGGGAAACAGTAAAAGAATTTCAAGCAAAATTCAAGTTAGAATATTATTACCAACAAACATTTCATTCACAGCATATGCAGATTTAAAGAGTCATTTGATGCAACTTTCAGTTTTTGAGAGTTCTCCAGAAATTCCTTAATCACAACTGATAATACACAATAATGTATTTCAATGTACTTTTTATAATCCACGTATCTTTCTGATTATTAAGGTTTTCTTTTACTTAAAAATATATGAAACATTTGCCAATATTTCAAATCTACATGTTTGGTAGCTTATAAAAAACTCACAATATTGAAAATGTTTTGGAGTTCTAATTCATCATTAATCCTCATTTTTACAATGTCCAAAGATATGTGTAACAATGTATATGAAAAACTCTGGCTAATTCTTCTTAAACTTTGTTGTCACTCCTCTTGGTTTTATTTCTTCCAGCAGTGCTACTTTAATCCAGTATTTTATTAAAACTAAATCGAATTTTTGGCAGTGAACTTCTTTTAATCCTTTTTAAATTGGTACTAAGCATCTCTTCAACA